TAAACAAAGAAAACCCGTTAAAAACAAAGAAAAAACCTTTAGAAAACAAAGAAAATTCTTTACAAAAGAAAGAAAATCCGTTTGAGAATCAAGAGAAAACGTTAAAAGAAAAATCCGTTACGAAGAAAAAACCGTTTAAAAGAAAGAAGAGAAAAACGACGGAAGTTAAATCCGTTACGAAGAGAAAAAACGTTACGGAAGAAAAAAAAACCGTTACGGATAAGAATTTCTGTCGCAGGACAAAGAAAACCTTCTTAGTGGCTGAGAGGAAGTCCTTTTACGAAACAAAGAAAGTCCTTTTATGAAACAAAGAAAGTCCTTTTAAGAAACAAAGAAAGTCCTTTTAAGAAACAAAGAAAGTCCTTTTAAGAAACAAAGAAAGTCTTTTAAGAAACAAAGAAAGTCCTTTAAGAAACAAAGAAAGTCCTTTTTAGAAACAAAGAAAGTCCTTTTAAGAAACAAAGAAAGTCAATTTTAAGAATCAAGAAAGTCCTTTTACGAAACAAAGAAAATCTTTCAAGAAACAAAGAAAGTCCTTTTTAAGAAAAAGAAAATCCTTTCAAAGAAACAAAGAAAGTCCTTTTAAGAAACAAAGAAAGTCCTTTCAAGAAACAAAGAAAGTCCTTTTAAGAAACAAAGAAAGTCCTTTTAAGAAACAAAGAAAGTCCTTTTAAGAAACAAAGAAAGTCCTTTTAAGAAACAAAGAAAGTCCTTTTAAGAAACAAAGAAAGTCCTTTCAAGAAACAAAGAAAGTCCTTTAAGAAACAAAAGAAAGTCCTTTTACGAAACAAGAAAGTCCTTTTAGAAACAAAGAAAGTCCTTTTAAGAAACAAAGAAAGTCCTTTTAAGAAACAAAGAAAGTCCTTTCAAGAAACAAAGAAAGTCCTTTTAAGAAACAAAGAAAAGAAACAAAGAAAGTCCTTTAAGAAACAAAGAAAGTCCTTTCAAGAAACAAGAAAGTCCTTTTAAGAAACAAAGAAGTCCTTTGAAAAGAAAGTCCGAAACAAAGAAGTCCTTTCAAGAAACAAAGAAAGTCCTTTTTAAGAAACAAAGAAAGTCCTTTCAAGAAACAAGAAAAGTCCTTTTAAGAACAAAGAAAGTCCTTTCAAGAAACAAAGAAAAGTCCTTTTAAGAAACAAAGAAAGTCCTTTTCAAGAAACAAAGAAAGTCCTTTCAAGAAACAAGAAAGTCCTTTTAAGAAACAAAGAAGTCCTTTTAGAAGAAAGTCCTTTAGAAACAAAGAAAGTCCTTTCAAGAAACAAAGAAAGAGAAAGAAAGTCCTTTAAGAAACAAAGAAAGTCCTTTTAAGAAACAAAGAAAGTCCTTTTAAGAAACAAAGAAAGTCCTTTTAAGAAACAAAGAAAGTCCTTTTAAGAAACAAGAAAGAAGAAACAAAGAAAGTCCTTTTAAGAAACAAAGAAAGTCCTTTCAAGAAACAAAGAAAGTCCTTTCAAGAAACAAAGAAAGTCCTTTTACGAAACAAAGAAAGTCCTTTCAAGAAACAAAAGAAAGTCCTTTTAAGAAACAAAGAAAAGTCCTTTAAGAAACAAAGAAAAGAAACAAAGAAAGTCCTTTTAAGAAACAAAGAAAAGTCCTTTAAGAAACAAAGAAAGTCCTTTTTAAGAAACAAAGAAAGTCCTTTTAAGAAACAAAGAAAGTCCTTTCAAGAAACAAAGAAAGTCCTTTTAAGAAACAAAGAAAGTCCTTTTTAAGAAACAAAGAAAGTCCTTTTAAGAAACAAGGAAAGTCCTTTAAAACAAAGAAAGTCCTTTCAAGAAACAAAGAAAGTCCTTTTACAAAACAAAGAAAGTCCTTTCAAGAAACAAAGAAAGTCCTTTTACGAAACAAAGAAAGTCCTTTTAAGAAACAAAGAAAGTCCTTTGAAAACAAAGAAAGTCAAAAGAAACAAAGAAAGTTTTCAAGAAACAAAGAAAGTCCTTTTACGAAACAAAGAAAGTCCTTTAAGAAACAAAGAAAGTCAAAGAAAGTCCTTTTAGAAACAAAGAAAGTCGAAACAAAGAAAGTCCTTTTAAGAAACAAAGAAAGTCCTTTCAAGAAACAAAGAAAGTCCTTTCAAGAACAAAGAAAGTCCTTTCAAGAAACAAAGAAAGTCCTTTTAAGAAACAAAGAAAGTCCTTTTTAAGAAACAAAGAAAGTCCTTTTAAGAAACAAAGAAAGTCCTTTTAAGAAACAAAGAAAGTCCTTTCAAGAAACAAAGAAAGTCCTTTCAAGAAACAAAGAAAGTCCTTTCAAAGAAACAAAGAAAGTCCTTTCAAGAAACAAAGAAAGTCCTTTTAAGAAAACAAAGAAAGTCCTTTTAAGAAACAAAGAAAGTCCTTTTAAGAAACAAAGAAAGTCCTTTTAAGAAACAAAGAAAGTCCTTTCAAAGAAAGTCCTTTTAAGAAACAAAGAAAGTCCTTTCAAGAAACAAAGAAAGTCCTTTCAAGAAACAAAGAAAGTCCTTTTTATGAAACAAAGAAAGTCAAGAAACAAAGAAAGT